ACCAGAATATCTTTTATTTATGTATAAAACTACCACAATATCTTTTATTTATGTATAAAACTACCACAATATCTTTTATTTATGTATAAAACTACCAGAATATCTTTTATGTATAAAACTACCACAATATCCTCTATTTATGTATAAAACTACCAGAATATATTTTATTTATGTATAAAACTATGAGAATATGAAGGTATGAGCTCATATATTCTGCAGTATCTAGTTTAAATGTCTAATGTTGTAAAGTAAAAGTTTATTAATACAGCACCTTCACAGACATGGAGAGTCACAAAGGTGTAAAATTAAACAGTAAAATAATAATAAAAGATCATAAAAACAACTGTTCAGGAACAGACGGCACACTGGAATTGTTGAAAGTCTTTATAAAAAAGTAAAGTTTAAAGTTGAAATCTCTTAAAAGAAAGAATCAAGTGAACGTATTGATCTGAGCCTTGGAGAACAGCCTGGAAGGAGCGGTCACCTCTAGATTTAAAACAAATGAAGAGACCAGAAGACTGAGATCACATGACCTCAGCCCTAAGGGCTCCGTGTCTTCTGCTGTCCACCATGCTGGTATCATGTGACTTTGTCACGTGGGTCCAAAGGGTAAACACAGACACAACAGGGCGGAGCCTGAGCTGACAGCTGTAACCGTTAGCAGCAGGGTTTTAAACGTACAAAGTGGGAGCTGAGGGGGGGCTGTAGAGTCTCTCCTCACCTTAACTCGTGTGGAGCACAGCGCTGTGGTGAAGCAGACGTCCTCAGAGGCTCGCAGAGAGCCTGACAGGAAGCCTGCAGCCAAAGGCTCGGAGCAGAGGAGCAGCCATCTTTCTCAGGCTCACCTGCTGGTGGGAGCGGTGAAGAGACGCAGGTCTGACCTCAGCCAGCTGCAGGACGTCCAGCTGAGGCTGCAGCTGTAACCATGTTCTCCTGTCCTCAGCTCCTCACAGTCTGCAGACAGCAAGAGGCCGAAGGTGGACCACACATCATCATCATCATCATCATCAGGAGCAGTGTGGACAGGTGGGCTGCAGTCTGACACCTGTCACAAACACACTGTCCTCACGCCGCTGACACAGCTCTAACAGGAAGTTGTGTTGTTCAGAGCAGCAGGGCGGAGCGTCAGCAGGAGGAGGAACGGAGGCGCCTGAGGACCACCGAGCGCTTCCTGGCCTGACGGCGAAGACGCCCACCGCTCCCCCAGGCTCCGCCCACGGCGTGCTGCACCTGCCGTCCGCCGCCGTGTGTGTCGGCGTCTTACCGGGACTCTGTGCCTATTCTGGCAGCAGCGACTCTGACAGCAGCTCTGACAGTGAAGGTAGCGTGGACGCAACCATGTCGCCGTACCCACGGCCCGGCCGGGCGTACAGATAGACACACACACACAGACACACACACACACACACACACACACAGAGACAGACAGACACACACACACACACACACACACACAGATTTCAGGCTGTAGAGGATGTTGTTGTGTTTTATTCCCAGCTGTGAGTGAAACTGTTTCTCAGCTCAGTCCTAAAAGCTCAAACCTGATCTGTTTATTTATTTATTTGTTTGTTTGTTTGTTTACTATTGTGGCTCTCAAACCTTCCCTCAATCACGTCTCACACCGTTTAGGCTGAGCCTCCAATCCCGCCTTGACCTCCTCCCATCCCATCCCATCCCCAGCCCCCGCAGCTTTGTGATTGGCTGAAGGAACAGTGATTGACAGCTGTGGAGCAAAGAAGAGTCACATGATTGTTTTAGCAGCAGAGACACTTTTCCAGTTTTTTTTCTGTTTCTTGTTTGAAACTTGTGCTGGAAAAAGGTTTGTTTTTGTCCCAGATGTTGTGAAAAACAAAAGATTTTATTTCTGTTGTTTAAATCTGAATAATGTGAGTTTCCAGAGCTGGCTGAGGGATGTGACGCACCGTGGGAATATAAAGAACCATGACAACAGGATGTTGGTGAAACTGTATTTATTTTATAATCCACACATGTACCTGCAGTTCTTCTAGTCAGGATTACTCAGCAGTTAATCTTGTTTTAATTAGAAACTCAGTAAAAATAAAGATATTTGATTCTGATGACTCAGAAATACGAGCCGTTTTTAATACTTAGAGTTAAGGTTTGAACTGTTGCAGGGATCTGATCTGAACCTGAAAACTATTTGTAACAATTTATTAGGAATATTTTAAATCACTGAGCAACGAGCACAGATCTGTTTTATCAACTTGTTAGGAAAGTATTGGACCAGAGTGACCTCTAGTGTTCATTTTGTGTATTTATACACACACACACACACACACACACACACACACACACACACAGTCAAACAATCCTTTCCTCTCTGTAACTGAGAGGCTGCTTCACTGGAAAAATGTTTTTAACATTGTGTGTATATATACACACACACACACACACA